GAAGTGAATAACTTTTGATACACAAGTCCATTCTGGATGTATTTACCACAAAATAACCGCATTAATGAGACGATTGAGCTTAAAATCGCTAAAATCCAATCATACAAAATGGTATTCATTACAGAAGTTGTATATTAAGGAGTGTCAGAATATGTGGGTTCTTAAATAGATCATCTATTTTGTTCAAAACAGTTCTTAATCCTGAGCTCCCATTGGTATTAATTCCAAATGTTCTATGGTTACACGTACCATTTCGTGATTACTAGAAAGACACCAATACCTTTTGCATCGAGTTAATTGATATATTATTATATATACTGACGAATCGATCTTGCCAATTTTTGTGCTTCCACAATTATTTACTATCATAGTTTATAAAATTATCGCAAGTAGAATGATGGCTGATTACTGCCTCGACATCACTCGGATGAAAGCGGCCCCCAAAATGCATTATAATAGCCAATCGATGACAACCTGAAAGCTATTTAATCAGTACAATTGTTCATGAAGAAGTTTGAGGTTTAAAATTGATATCGATTTTGTTCGTACAACACAATACAATTGGCAAATTATCAGCTGCGGCTGTGGTTGCGTACTTTTGGGGGGGCTGCACTGGTCGATTCCTTTTTCTCAGCAACTAGCCCATTTATTAATCAAGTATAAGGCATTTAGGTTCAAGAATATACATTACCTTATTAAGCTTACTATAGAAATCCCTGACTGAATTGATTTACATTAGGTGGTTTCAAAATTAACAAATAAGTGACGCATTTCGAAAATAAGTAGGATTGTTTTCAATAGCATTTTTACGGAAAAATGATTTTAATTTTGAAACCCCCTATTGTTTATTATGCCATGCTAGAATTCATTCCCCGTCTGATATCATGATCTGCAATGGTCATTTTACCTTGAAATTTTGATTGGTGAAAACCAAATTTTTGTTCATACAAAAATCGCGTATCGTCAAAAACTCTATTTCACCATATCGTCAAAAACTATAATTAACAGAATGATATAAAAAAAATGGCTAATACACTCGACTCTCGTTAATATCAACCTCATTAATATCAACCTAAACAATAATATGAATTACATATTAAAATTATATTAAAATTCCCTCATATATATCAACTTAATATGATCCCTCATTAATACTGTAATATCACTATCAACATGAATCTAAAAGTGATTCAAATGGGTTGATATTAGCGAGGTCAAATACTTATATTCAAACCATTCAAGTAATTGTGCGTTTGTACCAATGCTATAAATAGATTGCTGATACCTTCACATAGTATTTCATACAGTAATACCTAAGTCCAGACCAATTCGATTTGGTGGTTTACATTACCCCCTATTTTAACCTCTCCCCTCTCTCTTAGTAAAAAAAAATTTTGGGATATACATATATGAATTTGGCCGGAGAGCTAATGCCGGGCGGAATTAAGATTAGAAATTGTAAGGGTCCGAAAAATTCCGAAGAGAAAATGAACGAACATAAAATACGAGCAAGGGCAGGCAGATAATTTCTGATTGAAAAAAATTTTTTTTAATAAAATTTACTTGGTCTCGCCTAAACAATAAGAATTTTTTCAAGAGCCAGAAAACTTAATACCGTATATATAAGACCCACCAAAATAGTAGACCCGGGGCTGTAATATAGATAAAAATTTTGGTAAAATGAAACAGACCCGGGTATATTATATGTAAGGTTGTTAATGGAGTGGCATACTCTGGAGCAACTCCGGAGTAAACCCAAATATGCTAGAGTATGGAGCAGCTCTAAGCAAATCTGGAGTGGCTCCAGAGTGAGCCCAAACCAAATTGGAGTGGGTTGAGGAATAACTCAACCAACCCACCCATTAACAACCCTAATTATAGGAAACAATGATTAAAAGACTCGGGTATGATATTAGAACATAATATATATTATATAAATTCAAAAAGTTTTTATTTCTCCCACATAAAAGCCTTCCCCGATTATCAGACCAATGTCTATACAACAGATCCCCGGGTCTATTTAAGGTTTTAATCTGGTGGAATGTACAAAACCCGGATCTTGTATATGCACTTTTACGGTAATTCTAAAAGGTAAGAATTTTACATGAAGAATTACTTTCGGACCCTGCCTAGGAGACCTTGCCTAGCAAACTTAGTCAGAGTCTACTGATTTCGGAAGAGGAATCAGTTACGTCTTCTTTGACAAAAAAAAAAAAACTTTGCTAGATAAGGCTGAAACTTGTCTTCTTCTCTTGGTAACTGGAAGCGTGAGCTACCTTGGTCTCTTATTTTTCTTCGTTGTATTAATTCTTACTTTTTTTTCCTTATCAAGAATAACTCGAAATTCATGAATACACATTAGTACAGTATTATGCGGTAAATTTGCGATCTAATGAACGAAAGAAAAGAACATGAACACCCGAGGAAAATTTTAAAAAAATGAGGAAAGAAAAGAAACGGTGAAAAGTATGTGAATGGTTGTCCATTAGAAACTAATTAGTGACAGATACGATGAATTTTTTTTAACTGTACTCTCAGGCAAAATTCGATTGATTGGTTAGTGTAAATCAAATCAATAGATTGTAATTCATTTATACATTTTTAAAGAAACATTTCACTCGCAGCAAACATCACCTATAGCTTCAACAAAGTGTTAACGTTTACCATGCGGAAGAAACAAAAGAGATCAAGCTCCCGAAGAACTTAAATATGCATATAGTTTATTGGACTACTATATCATAGAATGAGGTAATTGGAATTCTTTTTGTCCAAGACTGCCTTATTACCGTAAAATCTCGAAATAGCGGTTATTTCAGTTATTTCGAAAATCGCACCCCTAAAAATAGTATATGTTGATCCTAAAATAACGCCCATGCGCGTTCCAAAATAAAGCGCACCCACTATTATTTAAATATTTAGGTTCAAAAATGGGGATGCTAAAAAGTCCATTCGGTCCGACCTAGCTTCGGTTCTTAAAAAGTCCGTTCGGTCCGACCTAGCTCCAGTTTTTAAAAAGCCCGGATCTAACTTATCTGGACTAGTTTCTCATCCCCAGACCCAGTCCGAACAAGTCCTTTGTGGGCTATTTAACATCATATTCAGAAAATCAGCCTATACATTCGAAATAACGCCCATGAGCGTACTCGAAATAGCGCACAGATAGTCAAAATAGCGCGCAGATGCCTGCTATTTCGAGATTTTACGGTATGTTATATTTAAATAAACTTTTAGTACTAACTATTATTTGAATAGGAATAAGCTTATAATAAAAGGTTCGGGTTAATACAGTACTTGAAATATGTTCTGTTTTGGCAGCGTGTAAATTTCGGTTTATATATTGTATATTGTACGTATTAATAAGTTTAGATCAATTGATTCTTTTGTATTTTTTATTAATTTATAAACTTCGTATGGAAGTTTTTCCATTTTTTAGTAAAACCAGTGAATGTTTTTAATTTTTTTTTTTTGATTGATAATTATCACGGTTGTCGAATTTCTGTCTACGAATAAATTAATTTCCCGACATTTTAAATTAGTACACCAATTGGCCACTAATCACAAAGATCCGTACTTCATAGAGTGTTTGTCGCCGACTCTAATTTATCGACTTTTACTGTCAATATTTAAAATCGGCTTAGCCGGCTAAGTCGTTCTAATAGGTTAATCTCAAATACGTAATTTTAAATGAATGTGATTGGTGACAACGAATTAAATTACCGTATATTATGTTACCGAATAAAGGCTACCCTGAATAAAAGCTACCCCCGATTTTAGATCCAAAAATTTGAAGGTTGTCATGTTTTAATCGTAAAATTAGACCCGAATAGAAGCTATCCCTTCACTTTGGTCAGAAAAAAAGTTCACGACATTTTGGTAGCTTTTATTCGGTAACATACAGTAACCACATTGCCAGTAGTGTTTGTAGTCGACCTAAATTCGTTGACTAAGCAAAGTCAATCGCCTTTATATGATCTCCAGACTTTTCCTAAATTTTCCTATATACTCAATTAAAAATCAACTAAGTTTTCTAAAATCGACTGACTTAGCCGGTTAAGTCGATTTTATTGACTAATTCCAAATCGACTACAATCACTAGATTTATACCCAATTTATTAGGTGACTGATGATTAATGAAATTTTTTGGTTTAAAAGTACGTACGTACGTGAGGTGAAAAAACCATGACTTGTGCCAACGTACAATCCAATCGGCTTTAAGATTTGCCGTTTATTCTTCAATAAAACCATACACTCACGCTCACGCTGGTATCCCAGACTATCATTTATCAAATTCCAATAATAGCACCGTAGAAATTTTCCCAAGAAATGAATAAATTTTACATAGTAAGCTGTTCTTTTTTATCAGAGTGACAAAATACTATGTTAAATTTGGTGTAGCATAAAATCTAGAAGTTGTATATCATGTAAATCACTTTTGCAATCGTGATTAATATAAGATATAACTTTATGTCAAGCGAAAACTGTATCTTAAAAAGTTTCTTATCAATCTTTGTTTCATATAGACCAAATCAATTGAGTTTAATGATTAATACAGTCTGGATGGCAACTATATTTGTGATCTTTATATATACAAATACAAATTCATGACACTAGAACACAAAATGCTTAATCTTGGGTTTCAGAATTAAATTATTTTCCTCCGAATCAGGAAATGAAGTAGGTGTATCTTGTGATAAAAATTAGCTTCTTTTGGTAAATATCTACCGATTATTTACTTCAAAAAAATAGGAATTATAGATCACACATTCTGAAACTACATTCTGTAACAGGTCAGAATCCCGACAAGTTAATTCGCATTAGGTTAACTATAGTTCTGTTAATTTGTTTTTTGGGGGTTTTGTTTGTCGGGGGGTTTGATCCAAATCCATATATATACTACAACAAAAAGTGGATATCAATCGAATCAAACAAATTTCGCTTATTGAAATTTCACCCAGAATACCAAACCAAACAAACACAAATTTCGCTTATTGAAATTAATAATGTATTCGAACGTCAAAAACTTTTTGCTCATTATCAGCAGTATTTATTTAGCCAATTTTATTCAACTGGCTTTATCGCAGTGTGGTTGTGCTTTGCCAATTTCTCCTGCCTCTAATGTAGTAAAAGTTACAGCACCAGATGGAATTATAATAAGATCACTACCATGTATTAATGGTTCAAGATCAGGCTCATTGTCAAACGGTGAAACATTTAGTCCTAACTCGGATTGTGCGGGAGAATCGATAAATGGATTTTATGTTTGGCTCTCTGTTTCTAATCCTGATGGTTTTGTTTGGGCTGGAGAAACTGATTATCCGACTTAACACTTTTGCAAGGGTTTATAAATTACCATAATTTGTCAACTTTTTTGGTAATTTACGTAAATTACCTGATAAAATTTTATAACATGAATGGTCAAATTAAATATTGTTTAATATGAAATGTCGGGGATGATGCTGAGAATATAAATTACTTTAATACTGTATAAAATTTTAACCCTTTTTTTAGCTATTATTTTTGGCTTTTTTTTTTTTAGAGTTAGGTTAGGTTAGGATTTAGGGTTAGAGTTTATAATAAGAGTATATGTGGACTTTAGTAGAGTTTATATTCTTAAATTGAGATCCCAAATTCTCAGCATCATCCATTCTCAGCATCATCCCCGACATGAAATATATTATATATAATATTATATATGTAAGTACCCATACGCGACACTCTGTATTAGTTGCTGGTCTCTGAAAATTACTTAGTCAACGAAATCACATGTTCGAACTTTTTTTGATGGTGATGCAGTGGAAGAATTATAAGTGATTTATTATAAATTACCAAGTAATTTGCCGTGATTTACAAATGGTACGGGTAATTTACCTCATTACAACCCTAACTCCTGCCCTCATTACAACACTGACTCCTGCTAAGAATATAATTTTGCAAAGTAGACAATACGACCTTGGATAGTCTTCTATATTATTTACACATGATTATGCTATCGACTCATGGAATTTAGTACAAACAACTCGTCAGAGGTGTGTGACCATGGTAATTCGGGTCTTATAAGAAGTTTATTGTAGTAATCCTTAGGTGCTCCTTCCTCGCACAACCGTTCTCGATTTTACGCTTTTTAAATAACTTTTTGGATATATGATTAAAAAAGGCTTTGATTATCCTCTCTTAATTCTTTCACCTGAGGCATCGCTTAGAATTTAAACACACTGCCATGCGTGTCTTTCATTGTGAGTGTTTTAGATTCACGTCTGTTTATTTTACTCGTCGATATTATCAATTTGGCCAACAAGCCTCATGTGTCATAACCAAAGATTCGAAGCCCTGATATTTGTGGCGTCTTAATTCTTACTCACGGGATTTGTGACGCACAGTTTTATCTTTATTTTCAGAAATGTTACTTTTTGCCCGTCACAATATACAAGGGCTCAAAATTTTAAAATATCACAAACAAGGGTTTAAATAATTTTGTGTAGTACAAATCGCATGAAACCCAAGCTCACCCTTGATCCATATTGAATCAAGTCAAAAATAAATCAATCTGTCGAAAATTGTAACCCTTAAAATATATGGCTTCGAAATAACGCGCACCCCGTAGTAAGAGGTATTTATTTATAGTAATATTCAAAATGTTTCGAAACTAGGTTTGATACTAAGTAAACTGACTTTCGGGTCTTAACAAAGTTGTTCTTCAAATCAAGACGATTCTAACAGCGGTAAAATCATCAAAAACAGTCCAGTATTATCACTCACAATGGTTCTTCAAAGTTTTAGAACGTTTGTTTCTCTTTGTTTGCGATATGCATATCGTAGTAAACAACGTTCTAAAACTTTGGAAAGCCGTTTCGGGCGATATACTGGATGATTTTACCGCTGTTAGAATCGTCTTGATCTGAAGAATAACTTTTGTTAAAACCCGAAAGTAGATTTACTTAGTATAAAACCTAGTTTCGAAGCAATTTTTTTTGTTTTATATAAGAAGATACTTAAAAATTTTATATTTGTCTCAAAATAACGTTCATGAGCGTATTCGAAATAACGCGCATATACTCAAAATAACGCGCAGGTGGACGTTATTTCGCGAAAATAGGGTAACATTATGGCATTATCAGTAAAAATATACACTTGACCCTCGTTAATATCAACCCATTTGGATTGAGCAATTATGTTGACATATGCGAGGGTTGATAATATCGGGATAGTTTTTATATACTCTAAGTCTATTTTGTTTTAATAAGAGGTTGATATTAACGGGAGGTTGATATTAACGAGGTTGATATTAACGGGGGTCAAGTGTACTTTCACGTACAAATAGATATTCCTTTGTTTGGGAATCTTTTTTTTAACGTATTTGTATTTTAACAGCTTCAGAACTTTTAAATCACTTTCAAAGATCCTAAAAAAAACTTTAGAACTAGACGATAATCATGTGAATTATTAATTTTAAGTGAAGTTGCTATAACTGATAAATAAAACTAATCTACGCAAAAAAAATGGGAATATAGGTGCAGACTTATGAGGAAGTTATATAACGTCAATTGGACGCAACTCAGTGACATTATGACACGTCAAAAAGCCGTAAATGACGTATCCGTAATACTTGACCTGTATCGTAATATCTGACTTACATCTGACTTACATAGTAACTTCTGACTTACGTAGTAACTTCTGACTTACGTAGTAACTTCTGAATTACGTAGTATCATCTGACTTACGTAGGAACATCTGACTACGTAGGAACATCTGACTACGTAGTATCATCTGACTTATGCCGTAACATCTGACCTATATGATGCTGTACAAAGATCTATACATACAATATTCATAGCTTTAGATTAAACAAATTATCAAATATAAACGACCTTTATACACCAAAAAATAAACCTCGCTAGAAAAGTATTATGTAAATTTCACAAACTTGAATACTTATAATAAATGCGTTAATGGGTTCTCATGAATGAATTAGAATTAAAGTCTTCATTTCAAATTAAATTAAATTATATTGATCTCAATTAGTAAATGCATTTTTCTATAAAGAACTTAATACATCATGTAAAGATGATGTAAAGATAATGTAAAGATAATGTAAAGATATTTTAAGTACTATTAAATACTACAAATACATCGATTGATAATTTATTATTTTGTAAATATATAAATAATATATGTAAATCCAGAAATTATGTATGCTAAACAAAGCCTGCAAGTTCGTACGCATTTAATCATTTTAACTTTAGGATTTAACCTCAATAAATGCGAAACTTTCGTAACTTTTGGTATTGCTATGATGTTTTCATCGCCGTAACTTTTTACATTGACGTACTATTGACAGCAAATGTCAGTTATTATGAGCTATATACCTCATTATGACATTTTTTTGACGTGTCAATTGGACGTAACCATACTTTAAATGTCTGCATCTATAGTTTATAGTGTTATATTTGTGTTGTTCCTATTCTGTATCTGCTCCGAAAGCCATTTGCCTGAAAATAAAAAATGGCGTGTCAAAAAAAAAAAATTTAAGATTCAACTTTGTACGTTTATGCCATCGTACGTATACTTTATTTGTACTATCCGATGCTTGATACGTACGTATTAAGTTCTACACGCATAACTTTTATTAATATATATGATTTTTTGTACGTATTATTAGAAGAATAATACGTATAGTATATTACACCATAATACAGTAATATAGTGCAACTTGATTAATGTATTTATGCCACAGTAAAAACTCGATGCACCATCATGTACTGTACGTAAAGTATATACATGCATACAATTATACCATAGATTTTCGTCCATATGTCGATCAAAGATTTAATCTATTTAATTTTTTCACTTTAACCGTTCCACTTTACATCCAATCAGTAATCTGCATCAAGATAATTCTTCAAGTTCTTAAGTCATTTTGTTTCTTTGTAGATTTTTTGCCAAAAATATGATTTGTTATGAGAGGACCAAAAGGGCAATATATCTTCCGCCTGTGACTTAAGTCATAAACCCTATTAAAGGAAATTCTTTCCATTAATGCATTTACTGGTTTATGAACCATTAACCAAAATGACCTAAGCATACCAAGTCAATATTTGGTATGTAATTTGTTCCTCTTTGGCCAATGATTTTAAGATATTATCAGGCATGCACTCAAGCACTCCAGCAAATTTTTTCAATATCATTTTTTGATCCAATTAATAATCAAGATTTTTTCGTCATCACGGATAAAGTTATATCTTCGAAGATCCATAAGCATGATACTTTGTGAATGTGCTGTTCTAATGGTTTCAATAATATCTTTGATATCCTTTTTTTGTAAATTTTTGACTTTTGTACCGAGAGGAGTTGTGCTCTCATTATACAGGAGTTTTGAAATGTGAGATAATCTATTTTCTTTCACTTTCAAAACAAGAAAAATATTTTTTTCTTTTGTCAATTTTACAACAGAATTTATATTATTAAGCATCCCTTCATATACTCTCTTCATATACACCCTTCATATACACCCTTCATATACACCCTTCATATACACCCTTCATATACACCCTTCATATACACCCTTCATATACAC